CCCGGGCTGGGGATTTGAACCCGCCACCTTAGGTGTACATGGCTGGCGCCTTAGCCGGTTGAGCTATAGGCGCCAAGCCTGCTTTTCCATTCTTATGATACTTTATGGAGAAGAATGTTCTTCAACTCCATTCAGGCAAATATAAAAGATGTAAAGTCTCCATCTTTTTATGGCTGAATAGTATTCAATGGTATCCTGATTCAGTGGTACCACAGTTTATTAATCCATTCATGGACTGATGGGCACTTGGGTTGATTTTACGTCTTGGCAATTGTGACTCACACTGCAGTCAGCATTCTAGTGCAAATGTCCTTATAGTAAAATGATATTTTTAATGGGATTGCAGGGTCAAATAGAAAGTCTACTTTTCGGTCTTTGAGGATTCTCCATATTTCTTTCCATAGATGTTGTGTTAGTTTGTAATCCCACTAGCAGTGTAAGAGTATTCCCTTCTCTCCACATCCATGCCAGCATTTCAGTTTTGGGATTTTGTGATGTGGGTTATTCTCATTGAGATTGGTTGATATCTTAGAGTAGTTTTAATTAGCATTTCTCTGATGATTTGGGGCGATGAGCATTTTTTCATGTGTTTTTTGGCCATTTTGTCTGTTTTCTTCAGAAATGTTTCTGTTCAAGTCTCTTGCCCAATTACAAATGAGATTGTTTGCTTTTTTCTTATTGATTAGTTTGAGTTCTCTGTAGATTCTAGTTGTCACCCCTTTGTCAGATTCATTGCAGGCAAATATCTTCTCCCATTCTGAAGGTTGTCTGTTTGCTTTAGTTGTACCCTTGGTTGTGCAAAAGCTTTTTAGCTTGATCATGCCCCATTTATTTATTTTTGGTATTGCTGCAATTTTCAAGGGGGTCTTCTTCATAAAGTTCTTTATATTGTTTCAGGTCAATAGCATCGAGTTTTCCCCATACTTTCTTCTGGAATTTTTATCATTTTTGTGTCTTAAATTTAAATCTTTTATCCAGGATGTGTCAATTTTTGTCAGTTGTGAGAGACGCAGGTCCAGTTTTGGTCTTCTACACGTGGCTAACAAGTTCTCCCAACACCATTTATTAAATAGGGATTATTTTCCTTAGTACATGCTTTTATTTGGTTTGTGAAAGATCAGATTCTATATGTGACTGGGTTCATCTCTAGGTCCTCTCATAGATCTGTATCTCTATATTGTGCCAGTACCATGATGTTTTGATCAGTGTACACTTTGTGGTATAATCTGAAGTCTGATAACGTAATGCCTTCAGATATGTTATAATTTCTTAAAACTGCATTGGCTATTTGGATTTTTATCTGATTTCTGGTTCCGTCTGAAATGAAGTACTATTTTTTTCAAGTTCTCAGACCTTTGATGAGGATTGCATTGAATCTGTAGGTTGCTTTGGTTTGTATGGACATTTTAACAATGTTAATTCTTCCCAGCCATCAGCATAGTATATTCTTCCATTTATTAATGTCTTCTGCTATTTCTTTTTTCAGGGTTTTGTAGTTCTCTCTGTAGAGATCCTTCATGTCCTTTGTTAGGTATATTACCAGGTACAATCAGGCAAGAAAAGGATATCAAGGGTATTCATAGGAGAACAAAAGAGGTCAAACTCTTACTCTTTGCAGATGATGTGATCTTAGAAAACCCCAGGAACTCAACCATAAGGCTCCTTCTGTGTGTGCCAGTCCTCTACTGCTCCTGACCTCATCCCTGGCTCCTGGAATCCCCTGTGTTTTCGTCATGGCCATAGAGTGATATTTTTGGGCAAGACACCCCAGCTCGAGTTGTCTGGGGTCCTCTCTCCCTGGTATCACTGCACCTGGCTGCTAAGGAGATGTCTGTGGCTCAGTGGGTAGGGCACTGGCCCCATATACCAAGGGTATTGGGTTCGAACCTGGCCCCAGCCAAACTGCAACAAAAAAATAGCTAGGCGTTCTGGCGGGCACCTGTAGTTCCAGCTACTCGGGAGAGTGAGGCAAGAGAATCGCTTAAGCCCAGGAATTGGAGGTTGCAGTGAGCTGTGACGCCATGGCACTCTATATAGGGCAATAAAGTGAGACTCTGTCTCTAAAAAAAAAAAAAAAGATTAAAAATGAAATCGTACCTTAAAAAAAAAAAAAAAAGAAAGAAAAAGAAAATACTATACCTGAAGCAAATATACCTGAAGCTGTCTGTTTGCTTTAGTTGTACCCTTGGTTGTGCAAAAGCTTTTTAGCTTATACTAAAGCAAACAGACAGTCCCAGCTACTTGGGAGAGTGAGGCAAGAGAATCGCTTAAGCCCAGGAATCGGAGGTTGCAGTGAGCTGTGATGCCATGGCACTCTATGTAGGGCAATAAAGTGAGACTCTGTCTCTAAAAAAAAAAAAAGATTAAAAATAAAATTATACCTTAAAAAAAAAAAAGAAAGAAAAAGAAAATACTACACCTGAAGCAAATGTATAGAATATGTTGGTTAATTGGGTTGACTAAAATGAAAGCCTGAAGGAGGCTTTGTTTTTCTGTTTTACTTGCTTTATGTACTGCTTATTTTGGACTGACACATTGGAGTTTTCCCTCATGTCTTTTTAGGTCCAAGACAACTTTGACAAGATGGAATTCAATAGGATGTGTTGGACCCTCTGTGTCAAAAAAAACCTCACAAAGAATCCCCTCCTCATTATGGAAGAAGATGCATTTAAAGTATGGGTTATTTTCAACTTTTTATCTGAGGACAAGTATCCATTAATAATTGTGCCAGAAGAGGTAAGATGTGACTTTAGGGTGTTTCTACATGGCCATGTTTGCATTTTAATAGACCTGGTTTAGAGTATTTGTGTTAATTCAGTGTAGATATGAAGGTTGACTAGTGTTTTTATCAGAGCTAAAACAGATTGAATCCAGAAAACCACAGACTTAGTGATTTGGGCATGTAAAACCCCTGGAGATTTGCAGAAGGGTGGGTACTTCCTCTCCAAATTGGTATGATTATAAATGAATCCATCCTTATGTTCAAAGAGTCTTTATTCAGTACATGCCACAACATAATTTTAAGTTTCTGTCTGACAGTTTTTACAATTTTGCCAGTATGCAAGTAGTTTGAAACATATAAGATCCAGAATGTTGTTCTCAAGGCTGTTTTATGCGAATAGATAATATTGTTTTATTTATTTATTTTAGTTCTTTTTTTTTGTTAAATCATAGCTGTGTACATTAATTCAATCATGGGGTACAATGTGCTCGTTTTATATACAATTTGAAATATTTTCATCAAACTGGATAACATAGCCTTCATGGCATTTTCTTAGTTATTGTGTAATATTGTTGTTTTAAAGTAGAGATGATGACTTTCTGTACTTTGTAAAATAAAAGTAAAAAAATCTATTTTTTCCCCAAACTTCCAAAGGAAAAAATAATAGGAGTAAGGTTTCTTTATTTTCTTATTGCCCTATAGCATGTTTGTTATAGTAGGAAATTTAGAACAGACTGATACAATAATATGCACAGTTAAAATCAGCTGTAGTTCCTCCACTTAAGAAAAGTTGTTGGCTTGGCGCCTGTGGCTCAAGTGGCTAAGGCGCCAGCCACATACACCTAAGGTGGTGGGTTCAAATCCAGCCTGGGCCCACCAAACAGCTGCAACCAAAAAAAATAGCCGGGTGTTGTGGCGGGCCCCTGAGGTCCCAGCTACTTGGGAGGCGGAGGCAGGAGAC